CCACTGTTCCAGGTGTAAATTCTGGTGATGTCATTCACCAGTTTGAAGCCCTCGAGAAGTTACTTGAGCTTTCTGAACTTCATTTCCCTTAGCTGTAACATAGGAGTAATGACATAGTGACATGCTGAGTAGTAAGTTCTTACTTTGTGCCAGATATTGTTCTAAGCACTTTCTACTTTATTAGCTACTTTAATCCTTACAACAGTGCTTGAAGTAGGTACTACTGTTATTATCTCCATTGTACAGAGGAGAAAGCGGAGGCAGAGATGTATAGTAACTCAGGACCCTAGGCAACATGGCTCCAGATTCAAGCTCTTCACTCCTCCAAGTGGGTAGAATCAATTCATGTAAAGTACTGGGCACCACACAGAAGAACAGTAAGGCTTCGCTCAGCAGTAGCTGGTATTTCTATTAAACTAATGATTCCGTATGAATTATATTCTGTGACTTCAAGTGAACTCAATTTTCCTACTTGCCTTCTCCTCAGTTAAAACTACACTTTATGGGACTTCCCTGGCAGTCCAGTGGTTAAGACTTTGCCTTCGATGCAGGGGGTGTGGTTTGATTCCTGGTCAGGAACTAAGATCCCACATGCCTTGTGGCCAAAAAAGCCAAAACATAAAACAGAAGCAGTATTGTAACACATTCAATAAAGACTTTAAAAATGGTCCACACCAAAAAAAAAAAAAAACAACTTAAAAGAACTATAACTCTTTAGATGTGGTAGCTGTGTTTGTTTTTTTAAATCTCTTTATGCATATTTAGGTCAAGAAGAAAGAAAAAATGGGTAGTAGCTGCTAGAAAACTATGAAATTGTTACAGTTTTACCAGTCATTACTAAAATGGAAAAATCTTTGCCTATTGTCTTTATTTGATCTTTCATTTCACCTATTTCCCTGTGTACATATGTGCAAAGAGAGTTGTTACCACATCAGTTCAGTTCAGTTCAGTCGCTCAGTCTTGTCTGACTCTTTGTGACCCCATGAATCACAGCATGCCAGGCCTCCCTGTCCATCACCAACTCCCGGAGTTTACTGAAACTCATGTCCATTGAGTCAATGATGCCATCCAGCCATCTCATCCTCTGTCATCCCCTTCTCCTCCTGTCCCCAATCCCTCCCAGCATCAGGGTCTTTTCCAGTGAGTCAGCTCTTCACATGAGGTGGCCAAAGTACTGGAGTTTCAGCTTCAGCATCAGTCCTTCCAGTGAACACCCAGGAATGATCTCCTTTAGGATGGACTGGTTGGATCTCCTTGCAGTCCACGGAACTCTCAAGAGTCTTCTCTGACACCACAGTTCAAATACAATCTTACCACATATGTTGCTGTTAATAACTATTAGTAATGATACGCTTTTGTATGTTCTATAATTAGACTGATATTCATTGTGCATCTGCTTCTTGCCATACTTTGTGCTTATACTTCACAAGCATCATCTCATTTAATCCACACAACAACCCTGCAAGAGAGAACTGTTTCTGGCCATGCTTTTCCAGAGTACCAAGTGGTTAAGTATCTTGTCCAACATCTTGGATTAAGCAGCAGAACTAGAACTGGAAGAGTATACTCTTAATCAGTACAGACCAATAAGCCGCTCTGTCCTTAGACTTGGCTGAGGCTTCCTTTTAATGTTCATTTCTTCTATGGATACATTAATATATTTCAAGAAGGTTAAGAGCACCGTCCATACATTAATATATTTCAAGAAGGTTAAGAGCACCGTCCAAGGCAGCTAGATGATCCACATAACCAGAGCTGACCATGTTGGCCTCAGAGCTGATAGACTTACCAGCCAACCAGCCTTTTCCACAGCCTCAGCCACAATCATCTGGTCTGCACCCCTGTAACCATCTCCTCAATGATTTCCCTGCCTTCCTTCTTGCCCTTTCAATCTACAGTGCATGAACCACTCAGCAGCCACTGGGCTCATCTTAATTAGAAACATAAATGTGTCACTGCCCCCTGCTTGAAACTCTCTCATAGTTTCCCACTCTTATTCAGATTGAGTGTATTCCTGATCTGCTGCTGCTGCTAAGTCGCTTCAGTCGTGTCCGACTCTGCGACCCCGTAGACCGCAGCCCACCAGGCCCCTCTGTCCCTGGGATTCTCCAGGCAAGAATACTGGAGTGGGTTGCCATTTCCTACTCCAACGCATGCATGCATGCTAAGTCGCTTCAGTCATGTCCCACTCTGTGCGACCCCATAGACAGCAGCCCACCAGGCTCCTCTGTCCCTGGGATTCTCCAGGCAAGAATACTGGAGTAGGTTGCTATCTCCTTCTCTGATCTAGTTGACCCATTAAAAAGTCACTGTGTTTCTGTTATATAACAAATGGAGTTCCAGTGAAAGCAGGGAGACCAGGTAGGAGCCTATTCCTGTGTCCCAGATAGAGATGATAATAACTTGAATGGGGAGTGGCAGTAGATATAGAAATACATAGGATAGGGAACATCCCTGGCTATCCATTGCAAGAGGCACAAGTTCAATCCGTAGTGGAGAAGCTGAGATCCCACGTGAGATCCCACGTGCCTTGCACCAAAACATAAAATAGAAACAATATTGCAACAGTTCAGTAAAGATTTTAAAAATGATCCACATTAAAAAAAAAATAGATGGGATATATTTTGAAGGAAAAAAATGTCAAAAAACTTTGCAAAGAAATGCATGCCTCTATGCCATGTTTGAAACTCTCATCAGAAAACTTTATAAAGATGGCTCTGGTTTCTCAAGAGCCTGGCATTCAGAACTAATTGAAATATTATACAAATATTATGCAAATGTATATTGACCACCTACCATACATCAAAAATTGTGCTAGGAATTTAGAATGGAGTATTTAGAAAAAAAGAAAGAAGTTTCCTTCCTTCAAGGAACTCACAATCCAGTAGAAACAATACATAGGAAAATAAAGAAATTATAGCAGTATGACCATTGTAACTACCAGCAGAATTATCTGCAGGGCCCAGGAGGTGATGGCATCAAGGTAAGAGTACAAACTTAGGAAGAATATGAATTCTGACATAGGGATCAGGGAGAAGGTATTCCAGGTACCATAACATGTACAAAGGTAATGGGATGGGAAACTATGCTGTGGTCAGAGAGTAGAGATGCCATAAGATACAGAAGCTGAATTCAGAGAGCATAGACGAGCCAGATGCAGATGCTCTGTTTTGTCTCTGTAGGCTAAGGTTTCACCAAGTGTATTCTCACCACTGATGCGACACAGCAGCATTTATGATATACAGATAAGCATATAGTTAAAGAGTTATGTATTTTAATGTGTATTATGCAGTATAAGATTAGAATATCAATATAAACATGATATGACAGTTCCTTTCAAAATAAACTTATTCATGTTAAATAAGTTAAAGAAAAGAAAGGCAAGTAAATTACATGATAGATGGACTGATTTGAAATAAATCATGGAAGTGCAGTGTGAGTGGCTGAAGTCTACATGTCTACAGGGGAGACTCAGTGAAAGTGTTTCCCCAGGGAAATCCATGCTAGAATGTGCAGATGGTAGGATCTGTCCTAAGGCCAGAAAGAGGATGCAAATCATTCTGGTCTGTGGTTGACTGTGGCCCTCAAATGTGGCCTGGGACTGAAAGGCGGGAGGTGTGAGCAGAGTGAGGACCTTTGCAAGAGGTAAAAATCAGCTGCACTTGCACCTGAGGAATGAGCATGAGGACCCGGATGACTCTGGTCTGTGGCTTGAAAGTCTGAGTGCTTTGGCCACCAGCCACTCCCAGAAGCCCCTGAAATTTGTCAAACAGTGTACGTTTTCATTAGGTGCATTCTTCGTTACCTTCCAAAGCAGAAATTCTGTCTGATTGCAGGTGAAGTGGGGAGTTGGAAGTAGGCCAGCTGGCTTTTGATAGCAAGTAAAGCCAGTTTGGGAACTCGAAGATTTGGATGCATTTGAGTGTGACCAGGTCTCTCTTCCGGTCCAGTAGACCCTGAAAAGCACCAACCTCCCTCCCTTAATCAGTGCCAGTTCACCATGTATCAGTCCACAAGGCAGAGGAAGGGGGAAATTCAGGAATCAGTAACAGTCAGTTACACTGATGATAGAATCTTGGAAGTGTGCCTTTGTAATTCTTAACCTTCCTTAATTTTTTTTCCTGTATGAAGAATGATTTCCATCAACAGACGAGCATTTGGGAGAGGAGGGAGAGGTGTAGGGAAGACTTGATACGTCAGTTTGAAACTTCCTTTCTGTATCGTACCTTCATTTGCCAGAATCACAGCAAAAGCAAACAAGGGAAGTTTTTCCTGAGTTAAGACTTGAGAAGAGGTGAAAGAGTTGGAGTTGTAATATTTAGCACTATTCTTTTCTCTCTTATGTATCAGTCCACAAGGCAGAGGAAGGGGGAAATTCAGGAATCAGTAACAGTCAGTTACACTGATGATAGAATCTTGGAAGTGTGCCTTTGTAATTCTTAACCTTCCTTAATTTTTTTTCCTGTATGAAGAATGATTTCCATCAACAGACGAGCATTTGGGAGAGGAGGGAGAGGTGTAGGGAGGACTTGCTACGTCAGCTTGAAACTTCCTTTCTGTATCGTACCTTCGTTTGCCAGAATCACAGCAAAAGCAAACAAGGGAAGTTTTTCCTGAGTTAAGACTTGAGAAGAGGTGAAAGAGTTGGAGTTGTAATATTTAGCACTATTCTTTTCTCTCTTGTGCAGCAGCAGGAGTTTCCCTACCTACAAGACTTTTAGCACATAAACAAATTAAGGTGCAGTGTAACATTTTCCAAGGTACTTTCTGGAATCCGACAAGGAATTTAAGTCAGGTCTGATGATGGGCCACAGTGCTTTCTATAAGTGGAAGTAAATCCTGCCTTCTGTTCCTTATCCTCAACCACACCCCAGAATCTGCTTTCTGTTCCTGAGCCCTGTGAATTTCCTTGTCCATGAGCACCCAGCTTCATGGTAAAGCAGATTAAACAGTGCACTTGCTCAAGCTTAATGCACCTCTGGTCTTTTTCTTTTCTTTAGGTATTTATGGGCCATCGGTAAGAATGTCTGGAAGAGATGGAAGAAAAGATTCTTTGTCTTAGTGCAGGTAACTCTTCAACTCTACTATCAATCTTAAGAGCCATTATTTTTAAACATGTGATAGGGTTCATTAATGTTTTGGGGGTTCCCTGGTGGCTCAGACAGTAAAGATTCCACGTGCAATGTGGGAGACCTGGGTTCAGTCCCTGAGTTGGGAAAATCCCCTGGAGGAGGGCATTGCAACTCCACTCCACTCCAGTATTCTTGCCTAGAGAATCCCCATGGACAGAGAAGCCTGGTGCGGGCTTTAGTTCATGAGGTTGCAGAGAGTCGGGCATGACTGAGCGACTAAGCACTTTAATGTTTTTTATATAATTTACCTTAAGTGCACAAAGCTTGAGTGTTTAACTCAGTGAGCTTCTATTTATTACTTATCCATGCAGTCACCATGAGGGATACAGAACATTTCCAGTACCTAGATGGCTACTTTTCTTCCTTTTACATGACTTTAAAATTCTAAACATTAATACATGCTAATTATTTTTTAATTCTAACAATACAGAAATCTATATGAAAGGTGGTAACAGTAGCCCCTCATCCCTGCCAGCAATGCAGGGCCCAGGGAAAGAGCAAGCATGTGCCTGATTAGGGAAACAGGGACATTAACACTGTTTTACAAGAATCTGCTGTTTCTAAAAGCACTAAGATAGTCATTATGAGAAAGCCAGAATTAAGTTGGACTTTTTACATCTTTTTCTTTGTTTCATATTTTGATTGTGAATTATCTGTGGAAAAACATTCCAGTCTTACTGATTTCTGAGGCTTCCAGATCCCCAATAATTAAGATTACCTTTCTAAACATATCTTTCCACATAGATTTTTTAAAAAATTAACCGAACTGTTCATGTTGTTTATTAACGTGTTTTTTTTTTTGTTTTTGAACACAAATCATTGTAGACACTGTTTCATGAATGTGTGTATTGCTCAGATTCTAATACTTGTGGAGTTTTCCTTTTTGATGTCCTTTGGGCTTCTTCAGTTGGGACTGTTACTAACTGTGCAGCATAGGGAAACAGGGACATTAACACTGTTTTACAAGAATCTGCTGTTTCTAAAAGCACTAAGATAGTCATTATGAGAAAGCCAGAATTAAGTTGGACTTTTTACATCTTTTTCTTTGTTTCATATTTTGATTGTAAATTATCTGTGGAAAAACATTCCAGTCTTACTGATTTCTGAGGCTTCCAAATCCCCAATAATTAAGATTACCTTTCTAAACATATCTTTCCACATAGATTTTTTAAAAAATTAACCAAACTGTTCATGTTGTTTATTAACATGTTTTTTTTTGTTTTTGAACACAAATCATTGTAGACACTTTCACGAATGTGTGTATTGCTCAGATTCTAATACTTGTGGAGTTTTCCTTTTTGATGTCCTTTGGGCTTCTTCAGTTGGGACTGTTACTAACTGTGCAGCCAGTAACATGTCTGTATATATAGATGCAGGTGTAGGTACAGATATTGATACTAATAATACACTAGTAATATATAAATAACATCATTGCTCTCTTCTATGCTTCCTTAAGAAAAATATAATTCCAGAATAGTAACATGTATCCTTGAAAAATCTCTTCTTTTTTGTTCCTTTTGTTTTTGGTTTGTTTGCTTTTTGCATCAGGATGTTTCAATTTACAAAGGAATTTTCCATTACCTCTTTTTAATTTGTAAGCTCCACCAGAGCATGTAAACTATAATCCATTTTGCCAACATTAATTTATGCTGTACTTTGAAACATGTCATAAATTGAGTCAACTTGTAATTTAATTTTAAGTGACTAAAGGTGTTTCTGGGTTACTGTGTTGGCTGTGGAGCTTCCCTGGTAGCTCAGCTGGTATAGAATCACCTGCCATACAGGAGACCCTGGTTCAATTCCTGAGTTGGAAAGATCCCCTAGAGAAGGGAACGGCTACCCACTCTAGAATTCTGGCCTAGAGAATTCCATGGACAGAGGATCCTGGCGGACTATAGTCCTTGAGGTTGCAAAGAGCCTTGACTAGTATTTTGGGCTCTACCAATTAGGAAATCTCACAGTAAAGCAGCTGCCCCTTAGTCTAAATGGCCCTGAAAGTTCTACCAGCCCTGAGCTTCTAAGGCTAGACCTTCTGTGGATCTACCCAGGCCTCTGCTGAGCCTCTAAGGCAGACTTCTTCTCTCTAGCTGTAAGCAAGACATGATCTTTGCGTTCATGATTGCTATAGGATACAACAAAACCTCAAAATAAATTAACCAAAGGAAAACTTTGGAATTTTTCCCACCCTTTCAAATGAGCCACGTCTAAGTGATAGAAGACATTTAATCCTGTAGTACATTTCCTCGGAATATCAGCTAACCAACATTTATCCAGTACCTTTTTTTGGTTAAGGCGCATTGATAGATCATAGAGAAGAACCTGGAGACCTAGTCCATACTTCCAGAAGCGTATCTCTTAGAGTTCCTCATAAGCAGACAGCAGAAACAGATGCAAGGCAATCATGATTTTAAAAAATGTTTTGTGGTAGTTAATATGATTGTTGCAAAAGCTGCTTCCCAGAGGAGTTCCAGAAATTCAGGCGGTAGGAACCATGGCCAGTGTCATTGATGTGGCTGTGGGACAGAATCAGCTCTGACCATTTTCTATCCTCGCATCTCCACTCAAGGGTCAGATTTGAGACAGGGGACTGGGTCAGTCCAGCTCGTGTCACACACCCAACTTTTCACAGGGCAGGCCATGGCACTTTGACTCACAGAGCTGTCTCCAGTGCAGAATCAGGGTGCCGTTACCAGACGCAGAAGTGAATGCTGAGCAGGCACAGCAGGTGATGTCTACTCTAAAGAGAGCATGTAGGTTGAGAGAACGGATGTCAAAAGAAGTAGCGCTGGATTCTGGGTGATTTTCCCCTTTTGTGCCTGCCACTGGGCAGAGCAGCCCCCTAGAATCACTCGTGAGTCTGGCCTCCCGCATAGACAGTAAGCTGCCTCAGGGTAGGTCTGTTTCTGATTCCTCTAGCTGTCCTTCCCGCCCCTCAGCTCCAGCACACACCCTGTCCTGCTCAGGATCTGGCATGCTTATTCAGGAAGTGTTTGGTGGAAGAAAAAAGAAAACGGAGCAGAGAGAAAGAGCCCAGGCAGTGCTTCAGGTGGTTCTGAGAAAGGGAAGGTCATGTGGCCTGGAGAGTGGCTGGTGACACCTTCTCAGAGGAAGTGGGACAAGTGGCCTAGTCATGTGAGACAAAGTCTCGTCTCCCACTGTGGTAGCCGGTTACTGGACACAAGACTTTCCTCTGATAATCTTTGAAATGACAGAGTGCTTAGGAGATGTGGCTGATCTCTTACTTCGGGAGAGATTTCACTCTTCAGGAAAAAAAAGTAATTGTGCTGAAAATGCTAATGAAGCTGTGTCTATACAATATGTACTGAACCCAAAAGAAGAGAATGATTGTTGTAAGCAATGCAACTGGAACACAGACATTTTAGGGCTTTCACACCAAGCCTTCCACCAAAAGAAGATAAGAATCACCCAGTAGCTACAAAGCAAGCTCTGAGCTCCCTTCTGAAAATCATGAAAGGGCATCGGAGGCCCGCCTAAAGCTCAGCATCTTTCCTACAAGGATTTCGTGATCCTTTCATGTACAAGTGATCCTCATTCACTTTAAAGAGCCCTTGCGGTACATCGGGTACAGGGATCCCCCAAACTAAACCTTCTCTTTCAGTGTAAACCCAGTGCCTCCCTTAACACCTTCTGTGGCTTACAGAGGTAAGCCTTGCCATCACCGAGGTAATGGGGGAGCCAGGAGGAGAGCTCAGGTTTTGTTGACATCTTTGTCCTGTCCACTACAACAATGTCCAAAGCAGCTTTAGTGGCCTGCCTGAAAAATACTGCATCACTTTTGGATTCCGTTCATATTTTCATCTCTGCTGTTTAGATGATCACACTTACAGGCACTCTATGAAAATGATAAACAAAAACTTAAGCACTTTGTATCAATGCCAATGCCAACAGAACTGCAAGAGAGAAGTTCAAGGCCCCAAATCCTGGCCCAATTCAGGGAAACCAAAAATACCCCAAGTTGCTTGAAGAGAAAGATGGTGGTCCAAGTGGTGACCATTGGCACCAGGCAGCTGCATGTGGTGTGGAATCCAGTCTAACAGACAGATGATTTTGAGTTTCTTTTCAGCCACCACACTGTCCCACTGACACCCAACATGCAAAAGTAAAAACAGGAGAACCTGGACTTCCTGGTGGTCCAGTGGTTAAGACTCCATGCTTCCTCTGCAGAGTCTCTGGTTCCATCCCTCCTTGGGGAGCTAAGATCCCACATGTGTGTGATGCGACCAAGAACAAACAGGAGATCCGGTCTGATCAAATCTGGGGATGGCTGAGAGAGCCAGGGAAGGAAGCAGATCCCCCCACCCTGTCCTGCCCTGACTCCCCAGCAGCCTCAGAGGGGTCTCTGTGGACATGAAGCCTCCACTCGGGAAGCACAGCTACCTACGTGACTCAATGAGTGTTTGTTTCCTCTCCATGCAGACAGAGTGTTTTTTAATAGAGATTTGGTGATGCATAATTTCCAACAGGATCGTGAGTTCCATTAGATGTAATACAAGGAAAATTGTTTGGAAAGCCTAAAGAGAGAACACATCCAACACCAGTCTCCTCAGAGTCCATCTCCTCTCCCACCCCAGCTGTCTGTCTGTCTGTCTCTCTCTCTCTCTCACACACATACACGCACGTGGTCTCCTTTTTTGTCCATAATGCAGAATTTTTGCATTCTGTCTTAGTGAGATTTCCTTTTAGAGCTAAGCTACTACCTTGGGAACACAAAAATAGCTTATAAATGGACTTCCTACTAACCAGGGACAGAGGCCACCCTTTGAGGAGTGTTGAGCCAAAGCAGCAGCTCCCATGTTTGAGGATCAAGGCTGAAATGATGGTGAGTGTGACTGGAGCCTGCACCCCAGCCCTGATGGGAATGAAGCCGTTGCAGGGGGCTTCTGTGGCAGCGACTTCAGTGTTGCTCCACCGTGT